GGGGGGGGGGGGGGAGAGAACAGGAAGATTACTTAGTCTACTATATTGCCTAAGGAAAACAACTCAACAAATTCACACTTTAATTAGTAAGAAGGATGTATTTTTTGTACTGAGTATAGAGTTGAACAAATTTCTCAGCACTTGCAAATTGTTAGTCACAAATCCAAGGAATGTAAGGGATCTGCACATTTGAGTCCTAAGATCTATTTTCTTTCTGAAGATTGCCTGTTTTCAGAGTCAGATTGTCTGACCTCTTTAATCATTTTAACAACTTCCTCCATGTTGGGTCGCATGTCCGCGACCTTTGCAACACATGCCATAGCAATTTGCAGCATCTGTACCATCTCTTCTTCGATGTTTTGAAATCTCATCAAATCGACGTCAAAAACCTCTGATGTCCATTCCTCCTTAAGAACTGACTGGACCCACCTAGGAAGGTCAACCATGTCATCGCGCCCCGGTGATTGCATTGGCTGCTTTCCAGTAAGCATCTCAAGTAGTAAGACGCCGAAGCTGTAGACATCTGATTTATGACTATGCTTTCGGGTTTCTATCACCTCAGGAGCTCGGTATCCTGGATAACGAGTTGGAGCTACAGGGAAGTTCATTATAGGGGCTAAACCAAAATCTGAGATACAAGCTTCTAGGTCTTGCTTGAGTAGGACGTTCGAGGACTTGATATTTCCATGAGCAAATTTTGGACCACCCACTGAATGGATGTGGGCAATCCCCCTTGCCGCTCCAAGAGATATTTTAACTCTCGACTCCCAGTCCAGTGGAGTTCTTCCAGAAGTCCTGCTGCCTATAATGACAGTAGAGTTCGACATGGATTAGATATTAGAAATATCAGCAGTGTGTGTTTCATTAGCAGTATGTCACTGATAAGTTTATGAAGGTTGGCGAATGGGGAATGAGTTCACTTCTCGTATATTAGGTATATTACGCATGAAGATTTTCAGCGCTAGCAGCTTTCCAGTTAGAAAAGCAGCAAGATAGTGCGAGTGATAAACTACACCTTCAGTGGAGCAGTGATAGGTAAAAGAAAGCTGGCAAATGTCAATATGTTGCTATAGAAATGATAAATACAAGATTACATTCCGTACTCATATAATAGATGTAGAAAGATCAAACAGTCGTATACATACAAAATGTGTTTCTTCTTCTCTAAGATCACAATTAGCTACAAGAAAGAATGCTCCTTTTCACACCAATTAGCAACTTTAAAGTTCAAACACAAATTGTTTAGATTCGTTATGAATAATTTTTAGGGCATTATTTGAGTGAAGTTTTGTGCTGTATAAGGAGTAGTTACTTCTACTCATTCAATGAAAAAGGGCGTATGAAGTTGCTCCTCACCAAACAGCAGAAATAGAGAAAGTAAATGACGATGAGAGTAGAAGATGCCTTACCGTGCAAGAGCATTGACAAGCTGCCCCTTGAGAAATAACCATACACCATTAGCTTCTCATCCTTGGAATAATAATAGGCACGTAAAGGAACAACATTTGGATGCTGTCTAACTCTACCAATAATTTCCATCTGCTGTTCAAAGTCCTTCTTCCCTACAATGACTTCTTTTAATCTTTTAACCACCACTGTCGTTGACTCCTCCAAAATAGCTTTATAAGCAGTTCCAAAGCTCCCTTTTCCTAGCACTTCAGCCGAGGCCCTCAACAGATCCTCGAGATCGAAATTGTAAGAGCAGCTTTCAAAGAAAACCAGCTTATTTTTCTCATGTTCTTGCACCCCACTACCAAACTCTTCCCTCGGCTTTTCACTCCTTCCTCCACTAGAAGATTTCCCTTTCATCACACCTCTGTCATCACCCCTTTTCCTTTTCAAGCAGCACAAAACCACGATCAGAACTAGCAGAAAGACCAGCACAGCCCCTCCAGCGGCAATAGCAATAATAGCCCATAATTTAAGCTTCTTCTTTGAGCTTTTTTCTCCTGGAATGTTTGGTGAAGGTGCAGGTGGGGAAGGGGATTGTGGTAGAACAGGGGAACACGGATTTAAGGGTAGTCCACACAAAAGTGAGTTCCCCCCAAATGAAGAACTTGGGAACTTTTGGAGGGATAATGGAATGGAACCATTAAAATTGTTGTGGCTTAAATCTAAATGTCTTAGCCTTGGAAGGGTGATATTGGGTATGGGTCCAGAAAGCAAGTTATTCTGGAGGCTTAAACCAGTTAGCTGAGTCAATTTTTGAATTGTTACAGGAATCTTACCAACGAAGGAATTATGAGATAGGTCCAAAACATTCAGTTTATTTGAAAAAGAAGCAGGAATAGTTCCAGATAAGTTATTGTGCTGTAAGAATAGGTATTGGAGAGAAGGAAGTGAAGCGATATCAGAAGGAAGGTTTCCGCTGAGACGATTGGATCGAAGGCTGAGAATCCTTATGGCATCGATCTTCCCAAGAGTATTTTCTGGAAGTGGACCAATGAGTCCAACTCCAGGAAGTCGTACAGCCACCACATGGGCCCCATCTGTACTACAAGTAATGCCTACCCAAGATGAGCAGATTGGGGTGGCAGGGTTCCAGTTGATCTTCCAGCCATGCGGGACTGCCGCAGCAAAGTCAAGAAGGGCTTGTTTCTCCGAGTTTATATCACCAAGACTCAGAGGAAGAAGAGTTGCTACAATAAAAAGAGAATGTAGCAGTTGATGGGCGTAGCAGATTCTCATGAGGAAACCTTCAAATGACTGAAAGCCACAAAACGTCAGTGCTGTGGTTTTCCTGGGATAATACAGTAGACAAACAACTTGAGAGCCACAGCCCACACAAATATCAAAGGAAAAAGAGGGAGGATAAAAAACACATATTCACCTAGCAAACATCTAACACTTTCACAGTTATTAGAGTATCCTCAATAAAGATGTTTGGAGATGCACTTCCGAATCGAGTTTTCATGAACCAAAACTGGATGAGTTTTTATGGATGCCAAATAACAATAAATCTATGTTCAACTAATGTTTCTTTTTGCACATACGTTCCAAAAGCACTTAGTAATGACCTTGACTTGGATAATTCCTTATGAATGCCAAATAGTAATTGATCCATGTTCAACAAATTTTTCATCAGATGCAGAAGCGGACCAGTAAAACTAATCATGTTCTCACAGAAAAAAGAAAAAAAAAATAAAGAAAGAAAACAGCAGGTCAGATTACAACATACTAAGCTGAAAGCTCTGCGACTTTGTCACAAATCTTATCCACCATACTAACAACATACAGTAACTTCAAAAGCTATTTAATCTCACACATGGATGAATGATTACACCAAAAGAGAAAAAGATGTTGTGACACATTGAACCAGGTACAATCGTTAAACAGCTCAATACAGCAGTATTAATTTGATTAGAAAGGTATATACTCCCTAGTAGAAGAAGACAGCATTCTCAGAAAAATCTTTGGTTCACAATGATTCAATTTTCAACTTCATGAACAAAGAGAATCTTGAAGTAGAAGAGCAAGAGCTAAGATATAAAAATAGCTAGCACTTAAGTATTCTAATTTTTGAAAATATCTAATAATCAAAGGGAAGGAGAGCCACCACCCCTTAAGTCAAGCTGGGACTAGACTAACCCCTTTAATCACAAGTTTTTCACCCTCGTAATATTCCTAACCAAGATTGGAGCTTGTAACAGTTGATAAGAATAGCTACATCATAAATAGAAAATACCTACCAAAACAGGCACCCAAAGTGTGTGGTAGTGGTCAATAAAGTGGGAGGAGAACTATAAGGTCTGAGGTTCAAATCCCAATTGAGGCAAGAAAACATTAGGTGATTTCTTCGCATATGTGTAGGCATTGGTGGGTAGAGTCACACGGTAACTGTGCTTGTGAGTGTTGAATTTTGACAAGATTAATGTGAACTAGTGTGAACATTTGAAGCCTCCTTTTAAGAAGAAATTGGTATATACATTTTTCATGCATTTACATTGCATGTTCACACTTAATATGATGTCATGCATGACATTATTAAGGCCATTTCTCTTCTATAAATAGCAAGTGTTTTGTTCATTTGTAAACATCTCTCACTTGCCTTCTTATCTCCTAAGTCATTTGAATCTTCTTTCTCTCTTGTAGTATTTCACTTGTATTTTTGGAGTGAAATAAATTTGAGTTGATTGTGTCCGAGGACTAGGCAAAAATCAAATTTTGCCGAACCTCGTTAATTTCTGGTGTTCATTTTATTATTGTCTCATTTACTATTTATTAGCTACCTTTAGATATAGTAGTTGTGATTTAATCACTCTCTATATATTCGGCTTCCGCAACAATTGGTATCAGAGCCAAGGTTCCATCTTAGTATGCTCTGTGGTTGCAGCATAGTCTGAACTTCCACATCAGAAAAGAATTACTTTGGTGTTCTGTACTGTCAGCAAATAAATAGTATCTGTAGCAAAATGGGAAATAATAAAAATGAAGAGTCCACATCGGGTGTCAGTAATACGTCGTTGGCATCTTCGCTTATGACAAGAATTATGTCAAATGCGAAATTTGCAGTTGAAATTCTTGACGGGTCAGGACATTTCGGGATGTGGCAAGCGGAGGTTCTTGATGTACTTTTTCAACAAGGGCTAGATATTGCCATAGAAGAAAATAAACCAGACAATATCGGAGAAGGAGATTGGAAGATTATCAATCGCGTTGCTTGTGGTACCATTCGATCTTACCTCGCAAGAGAACAAAAGTATCCATACACAAAAGAAACTTCTGCAAGTAAATTGTGGAATGCGTTAGAGGATAAATTCTTGAAGAAAAACAGTCAAAATAAACTTTCCATGAAAAAAAGACTGTTACGCTTCACATATGTTCATTGTACTACAATGAATGATCATATCACCAGCTTTAATAAGTTGGCGACAGATTTGCAGAATATGGACGTGACTTTTAGTGATGGAGATATGGCCTTAATGTTATTAAGTTCACTTCCCGATTAGTACGAGCACCTCGAAACTACTCTAATTCATGGGAATGATGAAGTGTCTCTCAAAGAAGTTTGTTCTGCCTTGTACAACTATGAACAAAGAAAGAGAGAAAAACAAAAGAGTGGAGAAGGAGAAGCACTGGTCGTGAGAGGTCGTTCTCAAAATCATATGAGAACGAAGAAAGGAAGATCCAAGTCAAGATCCAGACCTAACAAAGATGAATGTGCCTTTTGCCGAGAAAAGGGTCATTGGAAGAAAGACTGTCCAAAGTTGAAAAACAAGGCCAAACCTAATAATGGAAAGGCTGTCATGGATTCAAATGTAATTGATTGTGACGACTCTGATTTCTCGCTAGTTACAATTGAGCCATTCAAACCATCTGACATATGGCTGATGGATTCAACTTGTAGCTACCATATGTGTCCCAACAAGGACTGGTTCGTTGATTTTCAAGAAGGAGAATGTAGAGTTATTCACACCGCAAATAACAATCCTCTTACCGCATATGGTATTGGTTCAATCCGACTAAGGAACCATGATGGATTGATCAGAACATTAACAGATGTTCGATACGTACCGAAATTGAAGAAAAATCTCATTTCTGTAGGAGCCCTAGAGTCAAAGGGGCTCAAAGTCATTGCAAAAAATGGAGTAATGAGAATATGCTCTGGTGCACTAGTGGTAATGAAGGGAATCCGGCGAAATAATAACATGTACCACTATAGCGGTAGTACAGTTATTGGGACAGCAACAGTGACATCCAGTGATGACAAGGAGGCAGAAGCAACCAAGCTATGGCACATGCGCTTGGGACATGCTGGAGGAAAATCCTTAAAGATTTTATCAGATCAAGGATTGTTAAAAGGAGTAAAGACTTGCAATTTGGAGTTTTGTGAGCATTGTGTCAAGGGGAAACAAACAAGGGTTAAATTTGGAACAGCAATCCATAATACTAAAAGTATTTTGGATTATGTTCACTCTGATGTTTGGGGTGCTTCCTAAACACCTTCATTAGGTAGGAAACACTATTTTGTAACCTTTATTGATGACTTTTCCCGGAGAGTGTGGGTGTATACTATGAAAACCAAAGATGAGGTGCTGGGATTTTTTCTCAAATGGAAGGCGATGATAGAGACTCAAACAGGCAGAAAGATAAAGTGTCTTCGCACAGATAACGGTGGAGAATACAAAAATGATCTTTACAATAAGATTTGTGAAGATGATGGCATTTTGAGACATTTCACCGTCAGAAATACACCACAACAGAATGGAGTGGCAGAACGCATGAACCGGACTTTGCTGGAGAAGGTTCGGTGTATGTTGTCCAATGCTGGCTTGGGCAAAGAATTTTGGGCTGAGGCAATAACATATGCATGCTACCTCATTAATTGTCTACCATCTGTCGCTATTGGAGGCAAGACACCATTTGAAAAATGGTATGGAAAACCTGCTGAAGATTATAATTTTTTACATGTGTTTGGCTCAGTGAAAGAGTCAAAATTGGATCCGAGGGCAAAGAAAGTTATATTTATGGGGATTACTTCTGGAGTCAAAGGATACCGATTATGGTGTCCAGAGACAAGAAAAGTTATATTCAGCAGAGATGTTACCTTTGATGAATCTGCCATAATAGATAAGGTAACATTTGAAGATGTTAAACAAACTGATGGTGCTTCAAAGTAGGTGGAGTTTGAGGGAAAATTAATTTTCCCAACACAGGGAGAAAACGAGGAAACAATAGAAGATTTTCCCCTGGAAGAAGAGTCAGCAGAAGGGGAGATTCCAACTCAGGAACCCCAACAACAACTTGAATCAATAGCAACCAGCAAGCCAAAAAGAATAATAAAGAAACCTGTTCGTCTCATAGAGACGGTGGCTTGTGCAGCCTCAATTGTAGCTGATGATGTTCCTATCACTTATAAAGACGCAGTCCAAAGTTAAGAAGAAGATAAGTGGAGGATTGCCATGAATGAAGAAATGCAGTCCCTTCATCATAATTGTACATGGAAATTGGCCAATTTCCCGAAGGGCAAGAAAGCAATTGGGTGCAAATGGGTATTTGCAAAGAAAGAAGGATTTCCTAACCAAGAAGATGTTCGCTACAAAGCAAGATTGGTAGCCAAAGGGTACGCTCAAAAGGAGGGAATTGATTACAATGAGGTATTTTTTTCAGTCGTTAAACACTCCTCCATTAGAGTTTTGTTGGCTTTGGTAGCACAGTTGAATTTGGAACTAGTTCAGTTAGATGTAAAAACTGCATTTTTACATGGAGACTTGGAAGAAGAAATCTATATGACTCAGCCAGAAGGATTCAAAGTTGCTGAAAAGGAAAATATGGCGTGCAAACTTGAAAAATCGTTGCACGTATTGAAACAATCTTCTAGACAATGGTACAAACGATTTGATAAGTTTATGTTGCGGCAGAAGTACAAAAGAAGCAAATACGATCATTGTGTGTATTTGCGCAAGCTTGAAGATGGATCCTTCAAATATCTTCTCCTATACGTTGATGATATGTTAATAGCTTCCAAAAGTCAAGAGGAAATTGAGAAATTGAAGATTCAACTAAGAAAGGAGTTTGAGATGAAGGATTTAGGTGAGGCGAAGAAAATTCTTGGCATGGAGATAAAAAGAGATAGACATTCAAAGAAACTTTATCTATCTCAGAAAGAATACTTGAAGAAAGTAATAGATCGATTTGGCATGAATGAGAACACGAAGTTGGTTAGCACTCCTCTTGCTCCTCACTTTAAGCTTAGTGCTGCTATGTCGCCGAAGAATGAAGCCGAACAAGAGTATATGTCAAGAGTGCCATATGCGAATGCCGTTGGTAGCTTGATGTATGCAATGGTTTGCACAAGACCTGATATTTCACATGCTATCGGAGTTGTAAGCAGGTATATGCATGATCCAGGAAAGGAGCATTGGCAAGCTGTGAAATGGATTCTACGGTATATTTGTAATACTGTAGATGTTAGATTGTTTTTTTAGCAGGAAGATAGTCAGTATCTGGTTGGATATTGTGACTCGGATTATGCGGGTGATTTGGACAAGCGTAGATCAACTACTGGTTATGTTTTCACTATTGCAAATGCACCAGTTAGTTGGAAGTCTACTTTGCAGTCAACGGTTGCTTTGTCTACTACTGAGGCAGAGTACATGGCAATTACGGAGGCTGTAAAGGAGGCAATTTGGCTTCAAGGGTTGCTTAGAGATCTTGGTATTGGTCAAGAAAACATCACACTATTTTGTGATAGTCAGAGTGCTATCCAATTAGCAAAGAACCAAGTTTATCATGCAAGGACGAAGTACATTGATATTCGATATCACTTTGTACGAGATATTATAGAAGAAGGTGCAGTCATGGTGCAGAAAATTCGGACTACAGACAACCCTGCCGATATGCTAACAAAAGTAGTGACTGCGATCAAGTTTCAACATTGTTTGAACTTGATCAACATTGTTGAACTTTGAAGATTGGAGTTGAAGACACAATCAAAATTTATCAGTAAGAGAAAATTGCAAAAGTGGAATCTTGCCAAGGTGGAGATTTGTTGAATTTTGACAAGATTAATGTGAACTAGTGTGAACATTTGAAGCCTCCTTTTAAGAAGAAATTGGTAGATGCATTTTTCATGCATTTACATTGCATGTTCACACTTAATATGATGTCATGCATGACATTATTAAGGCCATTTCTCTTCTATAAATAGCAAGGGTTTTGTTCGTTTGTAAACATCTCTCACTTGCCTTCTTATCTCCTAAGTCATTTGAATCTTCTTTCTCTCTTGTAGTATTTCACTTGTATTTTTGGAGTGAAATAAATTTGAGTTGATTGTGTCCGAGTACTAGGCAAAAATCAAATTTTGCCAAACCTCGTTAAGTTCTGGTATTCATTTTATTATTGTCTCATTTACTATTTATTAGCTACCTTTAGATATAGTAGTTGTGATTTAATCACTATCTATATATTCGGCTTCCGCAACAGTGAGAGGTAGTAGGTACCCGATGGAATAGTGGAGGGCAGAGTTACATGGTACATGTGCTGGTGGAAGGTGGCAAGTGCCCGACAGAATAGTCGAAGTGTGCACAAGTTAGTGGGAACACCACCGTTAAAATAAAAATTAAAAAAAAGAACTACTACATTCATAATTCTTCTATCGAGCAAATGTCAAAGAGGGTTGGGAGATAGCAGGCACCTAATAGAATAGTCGAAGTACGCATAAGCTAGTACGAACATTACCATTAAAAAAAGAAACTTACCACATTCATAATACTTCTCTCAAGCAAATGTCAAAAAGGGTTGGGTTAGTTGGGCTTATTGAACAACCTCAAGTCTTATCAGGTCACAGTAATAGGGAATCCTAAGCTTCCATTAGACAAAGATAATTAATTTCTCCAATAATACAATTCAAAAGGACCAATAACATCTTCAGTTTTTTTCAATTCTTTATATTTCCACAAAAGTCGAGCTGAACAGATACAGGTTGATAAAATTCAGAAACATACGTAAGAACACACAGTGAATTACCTCGAAAAATTGAAATTTTGAGAAACCCCTTAAAGTTTTAGGAGGAATGCTGAGGTTCTGAGGTCAAAATAACAAGTACCCATGAGAACTTTCGTATTGAATTTATCCACTGAATTTGGAATGTACCAAGTTATAGTAACCACATTTTGCTAAAAATGGAAAGTGCACATATCGCAAAGCTGAAAAAATCCCAAGGAAGAGGTGACCCTTTTGCTTAAGCTGAAGAAGTAAATAATGGATCTATGTTAATAGATAAAGGCAAATGGTGTATTCGAGAATAAGTTGAGAAACAGAAGGAGACGAAAATTGAACGAGTGTTAGATTGTTAGTGCAAGTGAAGACTGAGAAAGGGTAAGAAGGATTTCAGATTTTCAGGATTTGGTTGCTGGGATTGGCTTTGGGCTGTTGGTCACTCCAGTTTTTCAACCAGAAAGAGAAATAGAGAGGGGTTTAATTGTTTGTTGTACTATATAACAGAGCATAAATGTAACGAATTTGTCGGATTTGTTTACTTTGGTCTAGCATTGTTAGCCCGCCAAAAAATATTTATATTCGTTTGACGAAAAAATATATAAAATTTGTATATAATATATAGAATATGTATATATACAAAAAATATATTACATATTTTTTCGACTATTATTTAAAAACGATTATACAATATCATTTTACCTTTATGTTTTCCATCGTATAAGATAACACTAGATATGTTATTATTGATATATTCACAGATTTATATAGGACTATTGCCTTCTGGTTGACTCACAAACTTTCGGTTCAAAACAGATATTTTTGCGCCAATACATTTTTGTTTAATTGACAATCCAACTTACAACATCTTTATGATTACCCTCAAATAAAATAATGTTCATCTAATGATTAGTCAAAAATTCAAAAGTTAAATAGAAAATTGATTTGCTCCATTTGAATTAACAAAACAAAGAAAATTGAAAAATTATAGATAAAAAAAAAATAGAGAAATTATGTATGAAAACTCGGAAGTGATGTTTGAGCTTGTGAGGGACAGTTGAAAACTCATCACAAGAAGGATGAGTCTGGCAATTACTCTCTTTTTGAGGTGGAGGTGGAGGGTTAGTTGGTATTTAATAGAGAAAATTTATTTACGTTCAATGTTTACAAATGAGACAATACACTTCATACCTATGGTTAAATTAGAGAGGCATATATAAGAAGACACATTGTTTATTGATTTAACGTACTGTATCTAATCGTCTTCTTTCCATTTCTTTTTCTTTTGGTGGGTGACAAATTTTTGCCTAGTTTGATGTAGAAGTATAAACTCTGAATCATAGAGATTAGTACAATTTTACTTGGTCTAATATTTATTTAGAACACTTAAATGAATATTCTCATCTCTCCTTTAAACAAATATTTGTACCCCACTTGTCTTTTTCTTTCTCCAATCTGTGTATTATATCTTCCTTTTTGAAAACATTTGAAGACCTGACTATCTTTATCTTTATTGTTTGACAATTTACAATATATTTTGACCCAATATGCTTGTCTTTTGGTTAATACTTCTTAGGATTCTCTCGACAAAGTAATTCTTCCGCTAGTCATGCTTGGAAAAACAAAGTGCCCAAAACGATTTAAGGAAGAATCGCCAAAGGTTGATCTCCTATGGAATTTGTTTAGTGATGATTCCGTCAAAATATCGAGTAGTTCACATTAATCGATCATAGACCTGCTTGTGCCTTCAGACGAGAAAGAAAGAGTAGAAAGATAGGTTTTTCGTCGATTAGTCAAGCAAAGCTAACAGAAATAAAGTTATTCATTCAAACATTAATGGCGTACCGATAAAAAAGATCTCCTTCCGACTTCGACGAAGCAGATAGAGAAAATAAGATTGTTTCCGGGCGGTGAAGTAATGGATAAAATCACTTTACCCTTAATAAGAGGTCTCAGGTTTTAGCTTTAGAAATGAAAAAAATCCTGGTAGGAAACGTTTTTCCATTAATGAGCCTTACGCGGCGTGAATACGAATTAGTCGAGCCCCAATAAAAGGGCAGTCCATGCACGAAGCATTATGCATTCTCGTAGTCCGTAGAGCTGGGAAAGGGTATACACCCCAGGGGTGTGATGTAGTCGGACGCCAATACTACGGGAACTAAATACCAGGTGAAAAAACAAAAAGATAAATAAATAAAAACCAAAAAGCAGAAGGAAAGAAACATGGTCCCCAATAAAGCACATAGAATTGACATGGTATGTTAATTATATTCACATGGCTGTGGTGAGACCGTGAGAGAAGCTGAGGGAGGAGGAGGTTAAATTCGTAGCGTCATTCATCAAAGTGTACAAAAGGCGACTGTCAAATTGTTGAATTGCTTGAAAGATACTGTAAAAATTTAGGATATTCTAGTCATATGTTGTTTGATATAGAAGTTAATCTTTTGCTAAGGAAGTAAAAATGATGAACTTAGATGTTAAAACAGTTATATACATTGACTCGGGGTATTAATTTAACCAATTACTATAACGTGTTTGTTACCAATTTTATAAGATTATTAATTGATTTTATCATAGAAACTTATAAATGATCTAATCGTATAAATATTTTTTACACTGTCATAATATTGAAATGGTAAAGAATATGGTGTTTCACGATTCAGCTTTTGATAATCAAGGCGCAATAGAAAGCATGTGCTGAAACAGCTTTAAACATAAATGATGATGAGACGAGTTTTATCTTTTGCGCTTGAATTATTATTATTATACAAAGAATAGAAGACATTCGTGACAACGTGCAGTAGAAGAAAATGACACTGTCCAAGATTATTTTAGCAAAAGCTTCTAAGATCTAAGCCAACATTATAACATGAGCGTTAGGTGAACGTGAAGAAAACGAGATAGTATTAGGTAGAATAATTAAGATTATCACATCTTTATCAGTCAAAATCGACACCAAATACTCAAATAGGAATCAGTAGTAATGCATGTATGAATTGACACCATCAGAAAGACCATGCAGCAATGTTTTTTCTTCTTTGACGCGGAGAGGAGTAGAGCTCAGGTTGAAGGGAAAGCAGATGGCCATCAAAGGTTGCGATGAGATGAAAAAGATTTCTTCATTCTTAATCAAAAGTCTCGAGTTCAAGTCCAAAGAATAGAAAAATTATAGTAGTAAGCATGCTATCTCTCGTATAATCGAGATTCATTGTGAATACCAAATCTCGAATGTGGGAAAAAAGGGACAAGGAATGATGCTGAGAAGATTTTTGGGATCCCTAAAACGAATATGTGACGAAGGGATGCGCTTGACCTTGGGTGCTCAGAATCTTTCAGACCCCTCGAATTTGATGGCATCTATTCCCCCACTTCCAACTATTTCTTCATATTTTATCTATTACACTTAATATTTTTTTCCTTGCCTAGTTTCCACGGGATTTAATCGTTTTAGGCGCTTGCTGTATAATTTGCACTAACAATAACATCATATCCCTATTCCCAGCATAGCATGTTTCCTGCTATGTTTCTGTCCCACATTGTCGAAACAGCACCAATATATTCAAGGAACTAGACTTAAGTATAAATGGAGGTAGATAGTGTGTCCTTAATGTACTACCTTTCAGCTAGTACGTACTACGAACATAGTACTTGACATTATCATTAGTTCTGAGATTTTCGGGCTCAGTAACTTGAGGTTGGAAACGCCAACAAAAGATTCAAGGGGCAATGAAACATTAAGTAACAAAAGCGAGGCATAGGCCATCCCACAAAATGCAGCAAAGGAACGACCCGAAAAGATCTGATGCTCTGCCACCATGAGAATGATTTATGCGGCTTGAGATAATATGCAAAACAAATGAGAGTTCAGCATGTCAAATCGATCCAGACGGCTTGTTAACACTTCATGAACGAACAAATGACTGAACGAAGAAGGTACAAGCCATTAGATGTTTGAAAAGTTAGCAGTACAATTATAACTTCAGTTAGAAGATCTTCACAGGAGCGTACAAAGTCGATCTCTTAAACTAATTTTACAAATCACTTGTAGAATTCAAAGTCAGTGTCAGGCTTCTTCACATTGGTCCTGTAGCCCTTTTCAAAGTCCTTGGGGAGTATGACATATCGATTCTTTCGCACTGCATGCATACCTGCTTCCTGACAAATAGCTGAAATCTGCAGACGTTGCAACATGAATCACAATCATGTTGTACGGAAAATTGAAGGACAAAACCAGACACAGCACGATATAAAACAACTATTTAGCCTGACTTCTAAATTTAAAACAGTAGTGGAGCATCCTATTTCTCCCTCAAAAAATAGATGAAGAGTAAGAGACAAACCTCAGCAGCACTAATTTTATCAGGGCGAGAAACATAATCTTCCAAGTCGACCTCATCACCTAAGTTCATCTTAGCAGTGCAGACCTGGACAAAAATCATCCAGCTTTAGATTCTTGGACTGTAATGGTAACACAGAAAAATCTAGGATAATGAATGAGATACACAATCCATAAACCAATCTCTCAAAACTTCCTACCACAATTTTCACTCTTAAATTATTTTCCTTGGTGCTGGGGAATAGGGTTAAAGAAGAAATCCTTATACAAAGTCATCCAAAATTCTACCTGAAAAACAAGCCTCTTTTGACGCCTATCAGGCAAAGGAAATTCAATCTTCCGATCAAGCCTTCCAGGACGCAAAAGTGCAGGATCCAAAGTATCAGCTCTATTAGTTGCCATAATAACTTTCACATTCACGGTCTGGTCAAATCCATCCATCTGTAGGAGAAACACCAAAGAGAAACTTCATAAACAATTCAAAGGGCATGCATTCTGACAGATTACTTTAGAAGAATACACAGAAGCCTACCTGATTCAGCAACTCCATGAGGATACGCTGGACCTCCCTATCAGCTCCAGTCTGAGCATCAAACCTGGCAGTTGCAATTGCATCTACCTCATCAATAAATATAATTGCAGGAGCATTTTCTTTGGCAAGGCGAAAGACATCACGAACCATTCGAGGACCCTGCACAGTCGGAGAGTAAAGGAGAAAATTAAAGCTTGAGTAATAGAAAAAAATGGAGTCTCGTCACCGTTCATGGACTGTAAAATTGACCGAGTTTTGTCACTCTTAACTCAGGAGTAAAAAGGAAATCTAAAGAAAAACATATTTGTGTAAAAGAAATTATAAATTGATCCGAAGTAGCATCCCCAATAATACAGTTCTGTTCAACATGATGCACGCGACAAAATGTACAATATTGCACTCCAAGCTGCATATTGACATAATGGAACTGTTCTACTTGATTGGGTGCAGAAAGCTGGTCCGTCTCTAATTTATCCCGAAAAAAATAAAGGAAAAACAAAAGAGGACCCCACCCCCAAAAAAAATGGCTTGTCTCTACGGCCACTTCCAAATATCAACAAATGGTTCTTGCATAGGATGTTCTTAGTTTCACGAAATATTTTCTTGCATATCATGTTTTGCTACTCAGCCTGATTGGGGCAGCAGAATTCCATGCCCCCTATCTTTTAGTGAATTATATTAGTGTTGCCTTCTTTTCACAAGGTCTGTAAGATGCCTGGGGATAATTGTCATTTTAATAATTAATGAACTAATCTTTGATCTTAGATTAAAAAAATTAACCAAGTTAACTATTGCAAATAGAACAATATATACAATTTGGGACAAAGGTAACAATAATTAACTGCCTTATTCTCACACCACAAAAAAGGCACGAATCATGAAACTTAAAAGGGCAAAAAAGTCTTGGACAAGAAGCAAATGCTTTCTTTCTCCAAGATTCTTCCAAGATGGAAACAAATACTTTAAAATCCATTTTTTATCTGAAATGACACAGTCAAGAAAGTTTGAAGAAAGAACAAATGGGTAACGATTCATTGATGCACAAAAATAACTGCTCAGACTATCCCATTACTTCAATACATACCTCACCCAAGTACTTCTGAACAAATTCTGAGCCAACAACCCTTATGAAGGCAGCAGTAGTGTGATGAGCGACAGCCTTTGCAAGCATAGTTTTCCCGGTACCTGGTGGACCATAAAGCAAGACACCACGGGGAGGATCTATACCAATCTGCTTGTACAACTCGTGATGAGTCAGAGGTAACTCAACAGCCTCACGGATTTCCTGCTTTTGTATGTCACATCCTCCAATATCCTGGTTTGAGGAAAACATAAGTTCATAAAAGCAAAGAAATAGACACCTATTAACAGGGTACAACATTACATTAGACATTTGTTTGTATGTAGTAGTAAGTGACATGTGCATGTGCACACACATATTTAGGGAGCTTTTATTACAATTAGTACATAATGTTTTCCCTCTTAGTGCTCTGAACTAAAAGCACGCTTTACCTTAGACGACACTAGCATTTAATGATTTTGAAGAACAAAACTGGAGAAAAGACCACGAGTTGCAGAGTCCATGCTCACGTTCCCTAGCGTCAATTGTAAAGTGAATCCAGACCACTATATTGCATATTTGATCAGTTAATTACAAAGTTCAATCCAATTACTTACGACCCTTTTCCTTTCTTTCCGATACAATATTAATATGGGTTAAAGAAAACCAATAACGCACTCAGTGGCGGAGGTAGAAGTTATGCAAGGGGATTCAACAGAAATACTAGAATGTTACACTTGAGATTTGAGCAAATAATGTAAAGCAAATTTTGAACCCCCTGCGTCACTTCACTAGAATATTCCCTTCTGTTAAGGGGATTCTACAGTTTATATAGTAAAAAAATGTTCATTTTTACCCTATTTGCACAGTATAATTTTGCCACGAAGGATATTCAATTTGAATCTCCTTGACTCTACATAGCTCTGCCCCAGAACACACTATATCAATATTAACCCAATACATTTATGATGCACTAGATGTTCAAAGACACCAGCCTACTAACTACTCTTTGTTATGTTGTTTCTTTTCAAAGGTGTGTCCTGCTTCCTGTTTCACTTGTCTTTCACGCCACAGTCTTGAATGAAAAATGATACTTCCTTCTGAAACCCGTAAACAAGGTTTCGGCTTTCCTTTTTGCTTTTGAGGAACAGAACCAAGTGGTTGATTGAAGTACACATGATGAATCCACTTAACTGCCTTTTCGAGAAGGGGAATGATAGGATTTTGGATAAGTTCAAGGAGAAGCCACAGTACTACACACTCAAGTGCTGCACGTGTATTTATTTTCAATGAGAGGCTGCTTGGAACTAAAGTTAAACTGAGAAATCATTTTGGACATGATTGAACAAGATCAGAAAATGGAAGAATATGATAAAAAAGAGAAAGAAGATTCTCAATGAGTTCATAAGCTATTAAAAAAAGCTTCTTTACTTGGTTTTTGAAATTCTTATGGAAAACATCGTCTTTCTGGTCATACTTTTATCACTAGTATTGGGTAGGAGGGTAACTCTATCTACCAAAGCTTAGACAAATGGAAAGAAATCACTTTGTGTAGCATAGACAAATGGAAAGAGATCATTTATCATTTTTTGCCTCTACCGAGATTTGACCTTTCGTCTCCCATGGTTCATTCTAGCTTCATTGACTGCTAGGCCACTATCTCCTTATTATTTAATTTGCGACACTGTTAGAACTATAAAAAAAAATTGATTCCTAACCTATTTTAGGTTAGAAGTTCAAGGTTGTGACACCTTCAGAGAAAAAAAACTAACTTTTCCTTTTATAAGTAGAAAAAAGCCAACTCTTTTTCAACAATTAAAAAAAAAAAAAAAAAAGATAGCTTTTTTTCTTGAAAATTAAAGTTGGGATTCTCTTTACACCTTCACCATGCTAATGTGACTCATATTTAATATTTAGGTCTAAATATTGGAAACAATGCATCTAGCAAAGTTTATACTTTATAGTTAGCTACAAGTCAATTTGAATCCAGAATTTATTAATGAAGTAAACCTAATGTAATTGTTCCAGAAATTAAGTCTTCACAATAAACCCCTATAAACTCTTAGTCTACCAATTAAGAACAGCATTCCTAAAAATCACTAATAAAAACCCTAGCACATAAGAAAAAAATATAACGAACAGCAATTATTATAGTCCTAATAAGCAGAATTACATATAAACCCTAATCAGTTAAATTAAGCATAATACACACTTACACTATAGGTAACATCAGGTTTCTCCGATTGGCTAAGCAGAGAAATACTCGAATCAGCCTCAGGAGGTAAAACATCAACAAGCGCATTCGAGTGACGATGCAAGGCCACAGAAGCCGAGGGTTTAAGTAGCTCCCGATTAATAGTGCTGAGTATTCTAACGTAGTAATTAGATCCCGTAGTGGAGCCCACAATAGCGTTATTCGTATCAATCATCTCCATGAACTGACCGATTACTAACGGCACCGATTGAATCCGTTTGACTTCTTCCTGTGCCCGTAAGTGTTCTCGCCGGAGATTTTTCAGCTCGTCCTTCACATATTCCTCTTGGATCTCGATGAATTCCAGCTGCCGTTGAAGAGATTTTAGGCGGGCGTAGAGGTCATCTTCGCCGTCGGAAAGAACGTCCTGTATATATGGGTCGGGTCGGGTCGATGGTGCCTCCGGTAAGGGTTTTGGATCGAGAACCATTGGTGTTGCCATTGTTGGAAGTGGAGAAAAAGCTATGGAAGTTGATACAGTAGAGAGGAGAGAAAGAATGGAGTACGAAACAAGAAATATGATATAACCGACTTCCTTTTATAACTGTCTGATCAAATGTTTTATATGTCTCGTTTAGTGTATTGACTTAAAATCCTTTTTAAGACGGATTATATTTACCAAATAGAAACTTTCACTTATCCAAAACAAAGGTATTTTGAAACTCAATTTGAAAGAAGTCGTTCAAAATTAAATAAATCATCCGTTCACTTTTACTTGGCATATATACTAAAAATAAATTTTTATTTTTATTTGCCACTTTACGCATCAAGAGAAGACAAAAAATTTTTTTTGTTATACCCACAATATTTATTACTCATTTTAAATCATTTTCTCAAATCTAATAAAATATGCATCAATTAATATGGGTATCATGATAAATTATGTACTTCATTTATTATTTCTTAAGGGGCGTAAAAAATCAAAACGTGCCAAGTAAAAGTGAACGGAGGGAGCACGTTATATGACTAAAAGACTTGGCAAAACAAGCTCTTATCGCTTAAACCGAAAGAAAAATATCAAATTCGCCTCGAAGCTTTTGGCTATATTCTCAAATTATCCTATTATACTTTTCGGTCACTAATATTTTATTGTTATTAACATATTTGAAGAATTAAGAGAGAGATGAAAAGATGAGAGAGAAGAGAAGATGGAGACTTAGCTCTAGAACTGTTCCATTCTCAAGCGAGCTCACTGAAGAACTCAAGTATGCAGTCCTAAGGAATTGGGGTGGGGAACAATTCCTGAACATAGTTGCGTGAATTGATTAAGCTAGAGAGTAGAAGAGTTGGAATTGATATTATTGACTGTAATCTTACACAATGAATTAGAATGCCCAAAACTACCCAGCTAACAAATACTTGTACTGGTTCTATAACTAACTCCGCTGGCCCTCCTAACCGACTAACAACCTCCAAATAAAAGACTATAATGCCCTCACTATACAATTGCTAAAGACTATAATGCCTTTACTATACAATTGATATGTTACAAGTTTCTTCTCTTAGAGAATGTCCTTGTCCTCAAGGACAGAAGGAGGGAAATTGCGCGTGCAAGGAATGAGTGTCCATCCATGTGATGTCTTCTACAGGACAGTTAAACCATTTTACCAAGACTTGAGCGACTGAATTGCCTTGCTTCGTGACTACCTTGTCTTCTAACATAGCTTCAGGCTCCAGAACAATATGACCGTGAGGGGAAAAGGAAACAGGTAGGTCTGGGACAACAACGGCAATGCCGACATGTTTCTTCAGCTGTGACACATGGAAAGTGTGATGAATTTTAGCTTGAGGGGGAAGATCCAACTGGTAAGCAATTGTTCCTACTTTCTTCAAAATTTTGAATGGGCTAAAATACTTGGGGCTAAGTTTATGGTAAGAGTGTCCCTTTAAAGAGATCTGCATGTAGGGCTGGAGCTTTACAAAAACCCATTCACCAACATCAAAGCTTCTGGGAGTTTGTTTCTTATCTGCCTGTGCCTTCATTCGACATTGAGCCAGGTGTAGATGATGTTTTAACAGTCGTACAGTAGCCTCTCTAGCTTGCAAACTCCTATCCACCTGATCCACCATTGAACTGTGAGCTACATAAGGAAGGTGAGTTGGTGGAGTTTGACCATACAACACTTCATAAGGGGTCATTTTAATGGCAGTGTAGTAGTTTGTGTTGTACCACCATTCCGCGAGAGGTAGCCAGTATGCCCATTATTTAGGTCTATCATTGCACATGTACCTTAGATAGCCTTCCAAACATTTATTCACAATCTTTATTTGTCCATCGGACTGAGGGTGATAAGCAGTAGAGGTAATCCATGAAGTTATAAACATTGTCCAAGAATGCTTGAGCAACTGTGAATGCAGTGTATGAGTGTGTCATCCCAATGAAGTGAGCATATTTGCTCAATCGATCCACAACCACCAATATAACACTCTTGTTATGATACTTGGGTAGTCCTACAATGAAGTCTAAGCTAATATCTTGGCACACTTTTTCAGGAATGGGGAGAGGTTGTAGAAGCCCAGGGTAGCTGACATTCTTTCCCTTATATTTTTGACAGACTTCACAATTCCTAATATAGTTATATACATCTTGTTTTAGCTTGGTCCAATAATACACCTGACTGACTCTAAAAAGGGTAGCAGCCATCCCAGAATGTCCACCCACAGCTGAATCATGAAACATATGTAGAATCTCCTTCCTAAGATTTGAATCATGGCCAACCATTATCTTCCCTCTTTTGTAAAGGATACCAGCATGTAACATGTAGAGTGGATTGGAAAAAGGATATGTTTGCAGTTGATCTACTAATTTCTGCAAGTGTGAGTCTTCTGTATATGAATGTTGAACCTTTTGAAGAAAGTCTGAAGTGATTATAGTGAGGGTCTGCAGTTGGATTTCAGATTCTGGTACAAGACATCTCGACAATGTATCGGCCATAATATTCTCATTTCGTTTTTTGTACATAATGGAATAATCATAGCCCATCAATTTAGCCAACCATTTTTGTTGACTAGGAGTTGAGATCCTGCTCTAATAAGTATTTAAGACTTTGATGGTCTGTCTTAATCACAAAATGTCTGCCAATCAAATAAGGTCTCCATTTATCAATGGCAGCCACAATAGCCATCATCTCCTTTTCGTAGACAGAAAGTTGTTGGTGTTTCAAACTTAGAGCCTTGCTCATGTGTGCTATAGGATGCTCAGCTTGTGTCAATACAGCACCAATCCCCACTCCACACGCATTTGTCTCAATAATAAACTCCAAGGAGAAGTTTGGTAAAGCTAACACTGGTGTTGTACTCATAGCATGTTTCAGTTGTTTGAATGCCTTTGCTGCCTCTTCAGACCACCCAAATTTATCCTTCTTTAATAGCTCTGTCAAGGGTCTTGCAATGATCTCATAGCCCCTAACAAACCTCCTGTAATATCTTGTTAATCCCAAGAATCCTCTGAGTTCTTTAAGAGTCTTGGGAACAGGCCAGTCTAACATTGCCTTCACCTTGTTAGGATCTATCGTAACTCCTAATTGACTGATGATATGCCCTAAGTAGTCGACCTCAGTTTTCCCAAAGGAACATTTGCTGAGTTTAATAAACAAGTTGTGCTGCTGTAATACATCAAAAGTCGGCTGCAAGTGTGCCAGATGCTCAGACCAAGAGGGACTGTAAATGAGAATGTCGTCAAAATAGACTAAAATGAACTTCTGTAGGTATGATTGAAGGATCTTATTCATCAAGCTCTGAAATGTTGAGGGGGCATTTGTTAAGCCAAATGACATAACAACAAATTCATAATGACCATGATAAGACCTAAATGCAGTCTTTTCGATGTCATTTTCAGCCATCCTAATTTGGTGATATCCCGACCTCAGGTCTAACTTTGAGAAATACTTAGACCCTCCTAGTTCATCCAACAGTTCTTCAATAACTAGAATAGGAAATTTATCTTTCACTGTACAGTCATTTAACTTCCTATAATCGATACAAAGCCTCCAAGTACCATTTTTTTTCTTAACCAACAATAGGAGAAGAGAAAGGACTTACACTTGGTCTGATAACTCCAGACTCCAGCATCTCCTTAATCATTTTTTCGATCTCATATTTTTGAATCGCAGGGTACCTATAAGGCCTCGCATTGATGGGTGAGGTCCCCTCCTTTAGAAAAATCTTATGGTCGTGATCTTTGTGGGGTGGCAATGTACTGGGCACTTCAAATGGGGGGGGGGGGGCATATTGTTTCAAAATCATCAGCAAGCCTTCTGGAGTTTCTAACTCCTGAGAATTCAGTGCTATATTGGAATTCTCCATTGGTTGAATAAAAGCCATTGACACCATATTAATTTGACTGGGTTTGCTGAGTACTTTCTACATCTTCACATTTGTTATGACTTTAAAGGTTTCTGGTTGACTGCCCCTTAGAGAAACCTTTTTTCCACTCATTTGGAACTTCATTTTAGTAGTTTGAAGTTCTAGAGTAATAATCCATTGTATCCCCCAACACCACATCAACCCCTCCTAATGGAATAACCAATATGTCAGACTTGAAATTGTCACGCCCCAAAACCGAGGAGCGCGACCGGCGCTCAACCGAGTGAACCCGACCGAGCAAGCCTATTAGATTTCATTCTATCCAAACTCATCCATGAATAGAGATAATACATATTATCATTAATTAGACGAAAATGTGTTCATGTCTACAATACCTATTCATTTCTAATAGTTTCATCATTTTTAAAGTCTCAAATGGACAAGTAATACGTCCACAACATAACATAATTTTTCTTTTCCTAGCACCAATACACAACCCACATTATGTCTACGGAGTCTCTATAGATAAAGAAGAGTACAATGATAATGCCGGCAACAAGGCCCCGGTTATACTTCAAACAGAATACACAAAGTATAAAAGATTCATGACCCCGGAATAAAGTGGGGCTCACCAAGTCAGCTGGGAAGAAGGTGCACTGCTATCACTGACCAATATCTCCTGTTGTGGAACCACCTGTATCCATTGAAAGATGCAGCGCCCCCGGCAAAAGGGACGTTAGTACTGTCGAATAGCACTAGTATGTATAACTAAACACCCTCTCAATAGAATGACAAATAATACAAATAAGATTATCATAATATCAATGAAAGCCTTAATCAACATCAAACCTCAATTTAGGATCAAGACAGTGTTCAAATTAATTTTCATATCTCACATTGGGATATTTTTAGTATCGATATACCATTGTCCACAATACCATTATTCACAATACCGGTACCACCGTACTCCTAGCACGGAGTCCGATCACGACCCAATCGGCTAGGCCATCTCATTAGAGACATCAACCATAATTTCTCTCAATATCAATACCACCGTCTTTAACACGGAGTCCGATCACGACCCGATCGTCTAGGCTATCCATTAGGGACATCAACCACAATTACCATTTCAATTACAATTTCCAGCATAATCGCCACCATGTGTGCGGCATGGTGTCCGATCACGGCCCGACCGGCTAGGCCGTCTTATTTGAGATATCAACCTTTTTATATC